ACATGAACAATTTAACACTTTTGTTTTAAATTTATTTTAGAAATATTACCAGTATTTCATGAACAAAGTGCACGGTTCAAAAGATGAAGACAAGAAAATGCTTTGTGGCGATTATCTTAACGCATTTATTGATTCTTGCAAAACGTATGGGGTAGTTATAAAGAAGGTATGTGTTTGGCTTATTATTTACTTTTGATGCATTAATTACTAAAGATTAACTCGGCCTTTCAACACTGCACGGTTAGTGGATATAACGTGTAAATAAAACTTTATCCCTTACCTATATATTAAACAGACTTGTCCATCTTTTAATCTGAACTAATCCATATTTCATTTTTAGACAGAATTTCAAAATATCTACTGACTAAATGACGAACAATACAGACGGCACGGATGAAATCGATGTTAAGGGGCTTGACAAGTGTAACTTATGTTATCTTCTCCCGAATACTATTATTTCCTGTTTATAGACCTGATCTCTGCATTCGATTTTTTTTCATACGTTTTGCATAAAATTCAATTTCATTTCCGTTTTGTAGATAAAACTTCAGTTATTCGGGGTATGGTGTACGTTTTGTGTATCGCTTATGTTATTTCCGGCAATACAAAGCAATGTAAAGATGGTCAGACAAACATTTGTTAACGACAATGGGACAGAGACTGAACAAACTATAACTTTCAGTGAAGAATTTGGTATGATAAAACTATGTTTCTTATATACCTAAATATCAATTTTAACACATTTAACATATAATTTTCAGGTATCATCATAATTCTTAGCTACAAGAGTATTTTCCAGACAATAGCAACCATTTCTATTTCATTTCCAAACCAATTAAACTTATAGACTTGTATTTAATTCAACATGATGCTGGCATATATTAATTGTTCAATATTTCATGTAAGCCATAAGGTGCATGCAATGTATCTTCGGCTAAGGATAACAAAATATAATAAAACATAGTTAACATTTTAATATCCAAATTCCCAGTATGATGTAACTAGAAGATTTTTGAAATATTAATGTATTACGTTTTGTTTTGTTTTTCTACAGAAATGAAAGGCTATTGGACATCTATATTTACATTCCTCAGCTTTAATCTGTTTGCATGTCTTGGAAATCTTACATCAGAATGGATCAAATGGGTGGGTAGCTCAATAGGGTATACCGTGCTTTAAAAAATATTATCTTAAAGTCTAAAAAAAAAATAATTGTACTGGCGTACTTTGTTTTATGTACGGTGGGAATCTAATAAACTTCCTTTTCGTTTCGCAAGTGATGTTAATAGAAATAGAGTGTACACAGAAATTGGAATGAACCGTTGAATGGAGAAGACGAATTTTTATTACGAGATTTTAGATATTGTTACAAAAAAATATTGCTTATTGTAGTGTTAAATAAAGTATAATAACAAGTTACTAATGAAACAATGTTTAACATTTGTGTATAATTATAGTATAGACTATTACAAAACAATATATATATGTATGTATGTAATGTTTTCGCATTCTAGCTATGCACATGCGAGTGCGTGTCAAACGTAGTTAGAATAATTCAGGTCTATAACTCGTGCCCTTCATGTTATTCAACCATGAGCAACATACAGTTCAACAATGAATTGTTACTAGAATTTCCTATATATATGTATCTCATTCGTTCTGTAACCTGATCGAGTAGGAAAATTATATATAGCGTTTACTTGTGAATTGTACGTACAATAACGTATTCCGTACAATAACGTATTTCATACAGTAACGTATTCCGTACAATAACGTATTCCGTCCAATAACGTATTCCGTACAGTATCGTTTTCCGTACATTAACGTATTCCGTACAATAACGTATTCCGTATAATATCGTATTCCGTACAATAACGTATTCCGTACAAGGACGGAACTGATTATTGTGCATTGCTGTATTTCTGAACGAATTGCCGCCATTCCTTTAATACCAATCAGAACTCAGAACGGATGGACCGTATACTATGTTTAAAAGTATTTATAATTTTTTTTCAGCCTGGTCCCAATCGTGTCTGGATTCCTATAGTGCTGAGGGCTTTCATATTGATTCCAGTATATCTACTCTGTAATTACCAACCAATCGGATTTGAGCGAAAGTTCCCAGTATATATACAAAATGACGTGGTTTTTATAATAGCGGGAGTTGTCATGGCATTCACGAGTGGTTACTATAGCAGTCTTACCATGATGTATGGACCAAAGTAAGTTCTCTCCTATCATTCCTTTGATACTGTTATATCAACCCCGGATGGCCAATTATACCCCAGAAATGCGTTCATTTTTACTTCTCAAAATCTTGCGTGATCGTAAGAGGCGACTTAATTGGTTCAAATAGCTGGAGTCTATGCATCTCTTAGCTCTAGCAGGTGAGGTGGTTTTGACCCCTGGTGTTGCTTTGAAGTTTGTAACACCCGAGGTTAGCCAAAATCATCTTTCCTGTTTCGGCGCAATATGACCTATACTGTGTTAGTGCGCCGTAAAACCAAACAAACAGACTTCATGATTGATAGGTCTGGTTCTTTTCTGATGGCAAAGACATAATTTTCAATGCCAACAGTATAAAAGATCTTTTAAAACGAATCTTTACAATTTAAAAATTCACTGTCCCAATAATAGAATTAATGATAATGGTAATCAAATTTTAAAGACAGACTAGCATATGGTCTATGTAATTTGTTATTTAACTCATTTGTCGTTTCCGAAGATTGGCATATATTTATTTGTATATAAATTCAAAACATTTTAAAGAGATCATATCGTTTATCATTGTGAAATGCAAGACAAATTGCATTTTTGACAGCTTTTCACAGTGAGACTGTGTGTATTCATTTTGAAAAATGAAGCTTATATTAACTTTCCTTTATAAAAATTTAATGCTTCGATATTTCTAGAAAAGTTATAAATCTTTATTTTAGATTTAATTATTTTACAGAACACTTTATTAATATATGCAATGTTTCTGTATATTTAGAGAAGTGGAACCTTCTATGATGGGTAGAGCAGGTATGATGATGGCGTTCTTCCTCGTTCTTGGAATCACTTCCGGTGTAAACCTGTCATTATTGTTACAGAGACTTGTTACAACCAAAGCAGAAATAGGTTAAAACAGAACTCGGAAGGATATAAAAACAACAACTGCCCATCATCTTCAAGTTATTACTTTATATAATTTGGTTTAGACTTGTTCGGCAATAACCAGTCTGAATAAATGTACATTTTTGTGTTGTTATTGTTTTATTTTCTTTCAGAAGACACACAATGTAAATGAACATCGTAAAAACCATTTATAAGATATATATTTATTCTAATAAATAGCTAGATAACCACAATATTCGTTGAATTAAAATCACCAGTTTAAAAGGTAATAACGTTTGACCGTAAAATGTCTCATTTCGTATTTTGCTTTTGAACGATTGCGAAAAAATGGAAAAACTGACCATGAAAATACATTGAGTACTAGGCAAAAGCGTGTTGTACATCAACATTTTACGACTAGAAATTTACTGCTATTTAACATACTAGATAAGCATATGATACATGTATAATATATTAATACACTTGTTAAATTATTTACATCAACACTATCGGATATGTATGTTGCAGAAAAACACGAGAAGCTGCACATGTACTTAACTTTAATGTAGAGACTTTATGAAACAGATTCAGCTTAAAGTCCATGATATATATATTGTAGAAAACAGACATGGTGATATTGTAAAACACAAGCGAAATGAACCATGTAGTTACAAAGTTCTAACACAATGATTAGGGTATCACATTGCCAGTTAATCATACACTTTTCCTAAATATTTAAGTACTAAATGCATTATTAATAACAAACACTAACAGAACAAGACTGCAGCTTAAGGTCAACTTTTTCCTATTTTTCAATAAAATGTTTAATTACGATATTTTTTTCATAAAATGTTAAAACATGTCATGCATTTTACTTCTTAATAAAACAATCATTGCATGTTAATATATATACGCATGTTTGGTTAAATATTTTTACATTTTTAAGCGCATTTTCACTAGAGAAAAAACATTTATTTAGGGCAAAACTTTTCACCGTACAAACTAACATTGACGTTATTTGACTTGCATCTCTTCATCCACTATATACCCTTGGATGGTAATAATGTCACTTTAAAAAGTACCCAACATAAAATTACCCCTAAATGAATTCAATGAAATTATGCAGTTAGAAAAACAAAATTTGGCGTTTATCATTTCTTCCAGTTTCAACACTTTCAGCAGATAGAATAATATCATCACCATGGAAGGTACCTTTCATTGACACTACAAATTCACTTGCTGTGTCCATGTCTCTGTCGCAAAAATAAATTTCTCGAATACTACAGCGTGGTTCCTGTTGTAAAAAATCTTTGACAGCTTTCATGATAGTGAGGGTTGCCTCCTTAATCGGAAATCTGTACGTTCCAGCACTTATAGCTGGAAATGCAACCGATGCAATCTTGCGTTTGGAAGCACTTCTTAAACAATTTGTTACACATTCAAACAGTTTATCCTTTTCCTCGTGGTTGCCATCAATCCACTTTGGACCAACTGCGTGCATTATAACCGAACTCCGCAGTGTTCCTGCATCTGAGCAGAACACTTGTCCTATCTCAACATTTCCATTATTCTGAACGTGAAATGTGCATTCCTCTTGAATAGAGCGTCCACCTGTAAAACAATTGAAGGAAACATAAGTATTATTTAAAAAAAAAAAGGTTTATCCACTTGTACACAAGTATAAAGATAATGTTTATCTAAGCTATATGTACTATCAATGTGTTAAAGCTGCATTGTCTCCCTTGTTTAGCAAACTTTTACTACTAATTATGAAATTGAACGAATATAAATTCGACAAACCTTTCAAAACTAGAGCTTTTGCAAGTCCCCCATTGTGTTTTAACGTCTTATCAGCGGCATTGATCAGAGCCTCGACAGCAGGTAATTCAATCATATTTCCTGCTACTACATATAACAGCCTTTCATTGCCTGGAAAACATAACGCACTAACAGCTGCTTCCGTATCATCTTCAAGCGCAAGATTAATCTGAACAGTTACATTAGACGCATCTACTGCTTGTGCCTCATCAGCGTCCTCTGTGAATCTTTCTTCCTCGTCTTCATCCGTATCGCAATCAGAATCAAGCTGATCCTCATCAGTTGATTTAGCATACTTTGACGCTAAGCTGTTCACCATTTGCATGGCCCGTCCAACACCAAAACTGATGCCTCTCAAGCGGATATTTGTATTGTCAACAGTTGATATATCAAGGCAATATTGCGAAAGGCTTTGACAAATTATTTTTAATATTCGTTTGTGTTTCATAATAAAAGCAAGTACAGGCTCATCATAGCGTAGTGTTACCGTTTTCATTTGGTTATCTCGCAGGAAAAACCGTATGATGTCGCATGAGTCTTTTAGGATGAACATTGATGTTGAGTAAACAGTCACTTCACAATTAGCATGATTTACATCTATTTGAACCTGAAATAAATAATATTCTTCATATTTAACCACATCTAACATGATGTTAATTATTATTAAGTCCGATCCTGAACCATTATCCAAAAGAAATTTGTAATAAAATCCTTAAAAATCCACGTGAAAACCAACACTAATTCAAAGAAACAAAAACGTAAATAAATGAAATAAACAAGAAAACAAACTCGAATTTTTGTCTTTTCTTATCCTTGTTGCTAAAAACATGTAATTACTCAAAGAAATTTGTAATATATATATCTTCCTCAACATTTCTGTCATAATATATATACGAGGGGTTATCCAAAAATTCGTGGACTTTTTAAATATCTTTTGAACGTCAACGTGTATTGTAATGACATTTTATCAGCATACATTGTTGAATATTATCAACACATTATGAAAGGAACAATTAATTGTGTCAATAAATAATGATTTTATATTGCTTTTAAATAAGCACATACACGGCACCCGGCGCACGGTAGAAAAGCGCAGTAAGTCATCGTATATTTCTTGCTAAAAAACTAAAATATTAACGTAGAAAACCCGCTGAACATCGCATGTTTCTTCTATGATGTCATTTAAGTAATTCTTTAAAATAATGGACGTCATTTCCGTTTATTTTTGTTGATATCGCTAGAAACGCCAGACGCCTTTATTGTTTACAACGGGAAAATGACGGACACGCGGTAATTAGAAAATCGCGCGATCATGAAACGATTATAAATTTTTGTTGTAATTTGGGATCGACACCTACAAAAACATTTGATAAAAATCAGCAGACGAACAGAGAAAAGAGAAGTTAACGATCATTAGTTTTAAAGTGGCATAAGAAATTTAGTGATGGACATTACTTTGAGAAGCAGTAACTGTCATTGACTGCGTCACGTTGAAGCACAAGTTGTATGTTAATATTATGACGTTGACGTCAATAACTTTTTTGGAGTGCGCCGCTGTCGCCGACATGTGATTATGTAAAATTAAATATTGTTGTAATGTAAGAAGCTACTCACATGAATTTGTCTGTGTTTATTTGTTATTAATTCTTCTAAGCAGTGTAAGAATTTCAAATTAATATCTCAAATATATTTTACGCAACAAAGAAAGTCTACGAATTTTTGGATAACCCCTCGTATATATATTCCTGACAAAATAATTGATAACTTAAATTTATCATAGAACAATAGTTCATTTTTTTTAAATTGTTTCATCAAAATATCTTAAGATTTAAAAAAATTAACTTTATTTCTTATTACTTTTTCGATTTTACAAACCATCAATGATATATATTTTATGTAAGATAGTTTGACATTCATTTACAATAAATCTTATTTAGAGTTTATTTTCCTTGAACAATATTGTATGTGCAGCGAATTATTTACTATAATAAACAATAATATTGCCAATATCAAATGACTAGAAACATGCATATCTTTATAAATTGAGCACTAACTGGTCATTCTTACATTTCCAATTCTATGAAATTATCTTACCTGTTCTTGATGTCTCTTCCTCAACATTTCTGTCATAATCTGCCATTTATCAGATTTGACAATAAATTTTGAATCTTTCCGGAGAGGAATAGTTTTTTAAGAAGCGTTTCCTTAAGTAACATTTGCATACAATGAGCAGCTTCCTCTTGTGACTTACTAAACATTTCAATAGAGTCATCATCAATACTACAATAACCACTTAACCCCCATGTCTGAAAGTGCAAATTCACCATTGCCTTAACACTGTCTAAAACTAGCAATTTTCTCTCGCCTATGTGCATATTCTTTTCTAAAAGACATACAGGTTTGGGAATATCTACTTCTTTGAATGAACATTCTGTAATGTTAAGGTTTCGTTATTAATGGACCGTGGTTCCTTGGTTGAGTTCTATATGAAAGATCAGGAAATGGCCTTTCCCCTTGCTCCGATATTCACAAAGATTTGAGAACATCCATCAGTTGAGTATTTGCCTGTGAATCGCCAGGCAACGCCGGCGATGCCTCTGACTTCAAACCAAAGGACCCTGACTCATCATATTCTTCCCGACCTTAAACGAAACAAAAATACTTAGATTAAACATTTAGATCTATTTGAACAATACTCATAGCAACAAGTCTTTGGATTTGTGTGATATTCTTTTTACATAATTTAAAGTTGCAGTTCTCCAGATAAGCCATAATGACTGATTTTGTAGTATCTTGGACCGAATCTTGTGTATCTTTCTTTCCCAGAAAGTATTTATCACCATATTTCTACTGCTTGACTAACGCAGTAAGGGCTATTTTGCATATTTCGACCTCCTTTTTGGTAATATACGTGGATTGTTAGTGCCGTTAGCAATATGTAATTCATTTTCTTTGTTCACTTCACAACACAATATTTTACTTTTAAATACATTTAAAAAAGATCATGAGAATTAGCATGAATCTCGAGGCATGCTGCTTTAAATGAACATGTTTCTGTTACCCATCAACTAACACTTTTACAGCTATATTCACAACACTGTAATGCGGTATGAGTTGTCATGTCACCTTGTCTTGATGTAACTAGCAAAATGTCAACCATCTTGCCTAATGATAATAATGCGCTACTACATCAAATAATGTCCGAAAAACTGAAAAATATCTGGAGAAAATTTATCTCTGTTTTCATTTTTTTCATCTGTGTTTTATTAACTGTCTTTCATCATTTTATTGTCCATTTTCTTTTCTTACATACCCAAGTAAATTGTGCTTGCAATCTGGTTGACAAGACAGATTTAGGTCATACGCAATCTGTAAATACAAGTAGTTTATCTTTAAATGTATCACGATAGCATCTATTTACTCAAAGTAAATACAAGTTTGCATGTACGTATGTATGTAAGGAGTTTAAATGTGTATTAAAAATAAGATGTATGGTCAAAGATATTAAAAGAAACATGAATGTAAGTAGAACTTTTCATACATTTTACAGAAAAGTATGACCTATATTTTTAGTATTAATACGACATACTCCGTGACTCGATACAATCCTTAAATAACACGGAGTCCGCCCGCTAAGCTCACTAGAGAGAGCATCGGATTAGTAATCCCCTCGGGCGTGGCGAAATTTTTCTTTGAAAATTAGTCTCAGGCATTTGAGTCTAATGGTCATTTTTCACACACCGCTGATTTGGTAAGTAGTCGGTGAATTGTGGAGAAATTGATTTTAACTGGTCAGCTATCCAGGTCGGTCAATTGCGGTCAATTGCGGAAAAATTGGTTATAACTGGTTAGTTATCCAGCTCAGTCAGTTGCAAAGAAATTGGTAATAACTGTTATTTATCCAGGAAAGCCGGTAAGCGAAATTTGAAAGGATAATTACCAAATAAATGAACGAATATATTGCACAGATGATTCAATAAATATAATTGTGTATTAAATTTTAAATGAGTCACTCCTTGTTTGGAAGAGACCAGTTTTGAATAACACAGTATCATTTTTATAGGTATCTCCAGAATAAACACTAGACAAAATACATTATAAAACCAGTAAACCATGACAACGAAATACCAGCATGACAGTCGTACGAACAATAGTGTAGTAGATTCGTATCCAGCAGACGACAGTGGTATACAGCTCCTGTCCTATACAACACGACACAACAAACCCAACACTACTGAAAATAATGTCATTCATCATAGAGGTATTTTAACTAGTACTTAAATTATTTTTAAATCACTTTGTACGTTTTCATTTGTCAATCTTTGCATCTTGTTGTTTCTGACAGATTGTAGTATTCAAGAGCTTTTTAAGGGCAAAGAACTTTCTCGACCATTATCTTATTCGTTTATTGTGTTGTTACCTTTGTGACCCCCCCCCCCCCCACAAAAAAAGTTAAAAAAAAACACTGAAATTCTTATATCATATTAAACGTGCATAGGATATTACTTTTTTCTAAATAATTTATAATTTTACAATAATTTATGGTGGCTGCTTTGGTACGCTTTTGTGCGTCGCGTTGGCGCTAGCGACAATACGACAAATCGCCAAACGGCGCGTTGTCGCGCTGTCGTCTTGTATCTAGCGTGGCACGCCAAGCGGCACGTTGGCGTGCGTTGTGTTTTCGCGATGTTACATTGTCGCTCGGTTCAAATTGAAGAATTGCCTTATAAGCCAAGCGACAGGGCGACATTGCGCCGCACGACAAAACGACGTATGCCGTGCCGCGCTAGAGACAAGACGACAGCGCGACAACGCGCCGTTTGGTGCTTTGTCACGTTGTCGCTAACGACAGGGCGAAAGTCCGACAACGCGCCGTTTGGCGCTTTGTCTTGTTGTCGCTTGTGCCAACTAGACGCACAAAAGCGTACCAAATCAGCCACCATAATTGTTGAATAATTTTCACAGAATTTGGAAGCCCGGATGAGAAGAAACAGTTTATTCCAACATATTCGGACGTGGTAAAACTTGATCCCGGCTTAGAGTCTGTTAACAAAAGCCGTGAATTGTACAACACAGGACAGCAAGAACTCGACCAGCCGCCGACTGACAGGTTTATATACACTCTCCTTTGACTGAAACAGGTTTCCAATTTACTATGCGTTATTGAATAAAAAATAATATTAGAACTTTATTGGACTTCTCCACAATGTTGGAGTTGATTGCTGGCGGCATCCATTTTTGGCGTGTCTAATTGAGTTTAATGAACCTCATTTACAGCCTAAATTCATTCTGGGACGTAAGATAACTTATGTCCCAGATTCATTAGAACCAGTCTACAAACATTGTTATGCGCATGTTTCACTTCAAAATACGACTTTACTCAAACGAAAAATTAAAATTGTTTATTGTTTTTTTTTTTTGAACAGCGAATTCCAAAATAAGTGACAGTAAACATTTATAATAGTACACTACTGTGAAATTTGAAAAGAAGTATTGTTTCTAGGATGGTATATCTATACTCATTTCGTTGTAAAACAATTGGGTCATTAACAGTCCAGGTCATTGGCAGAGCTCAGTTATTTTTAGATATGATCATTCACGCAGCCAGTAGAGGTCTTTCCCAGGCATGCTTGTTCTAATTATGGCAAGAGGTCGCAAAGTGAAAGTACTATTTTAGAAAAAATATTAGATTTTATGAATGAAATTCCTTACTGCTTTGTCTATAATGATACAGGTTGCATGTACTTGGTTGAAATGTTGAGCTATATAAAAGGGATTTTCTAAGTTTATTTTTCTGCTGTTGACAAGTTTAAAGAATAGTTAATCAAAAGTTAGTGTATCAATCTATAAAAAGTACAAATATATTAACTTTTTGCAAGTTTATGCTGAACTTAGTTGCAGTGTTTTTTATACAAATTTAAAATGACTTCTTAAGCGACGAATGACTGCAAAATCAAACATGCAAAGGGTCAGATTTCAATTTGGAATAAAAAAACAAATTAATCGTTGATTGGGTTTTTAACTGGAGCTATAATACTGAAAAACAAAGCATTTATAAGCTTCGGATCCAGTCCTTTTTCAACCATTCATGTTTGTATTGAGTACTTTATTACTTGTAGTAGTATCTGTATATACATGTATACTTCGAATTTGTAAGATGCAATGTTAAACAAATGTTATGCTATTTAGTTAACGTGTATACATGTATTTATGTATTTTTTGTACTTATCTTTGTATTGCATAACAGTCTGTATATCTGAACTACTTGTTGAACATTGTTAAGGCATGTCAGCAATTCAGGTCGTGCAAGGAATCGTTTCCGCAAGTGCGTCGCGCGCCAGTCCACTTTTGTATATTAATTAAAGCTGCATGCGCTTTTTGTTGGGGTTCTTTGAGTTTATTGGAGTTGAAGAGTGGTTGTTGTTGAGTTAAGTTGTTGTAGTTTAAGTGTTAAATTTGCTTTTAGACTGTTGCTAGTATATACTTTTGATGCATAATTTGATTTTAATTGATTTTATATTCAAGCTTTCACTTGAACTTAATCTATATAAACATCGAGTTCTAAATGATAGACATTTCCAGCGAAAACGTGTTTAGACAGATTTCTGTTAAAACAGAGCAATTTCGTAACAATATCGTCGAGCACTATTTATGACCTAATGAACCGTGTATGGAAATGTTGCGGCTTCTTTAACTTCGGAACACCTCGCCGATTATTCCAAATCTGAGACATTGAATGAAATAGCCGATCTGTTGCTTTTGTTCGCAGATGCTATTCGACTACTTAGAAGTTCTTACTTTCCTGTCATTTGAACAATTAAATAAATCTTCAACAGCTGTAAACAGACCTCTCGCATCCTTCTTTTTAAAGAAGCAAACTTGTACAAGATAATGATGATCGGAGTTGTCGCTATGTTCCTCGTGATGTAGTATGCTTGTATTTATGTTTGTATGTTCTCTACTCTATGCAATCTTTACTAACCAAAATGATTATTGGTTTTTGTCCATATTTGATTCACACAACATAACTGAATAACATTTATACATTACGTAGGTACAACATTGTTTTTGGAATTTTCCTTATTCATGGAGTGGGTATCCTAATGCCATGGAACATGTTTATAACTGCAAAATCGGTAA